TGTAGGCACAACAAATCCAACCACTCGTCATAGCCCATGCCTTGCCCATACCCACCTTGCAAGCAAAGTCGTAAAAATCACCGCCCAGCGACCCCGACCGGACCACTCCGTTGCTGTTTGCTGACATCTCCCAAGTAGTCCTTCAGTGCTCAGCTATCCTATCATCTCCTGTAATAATCCCTGGCGTCCTTTTTCGGCGTTATTTCGGAGAAAATATGCATTGAAGTTGATGGAAATCGTGCGTCCATCAGGGTTGATCAAGAAAAAAGTAATCCGCGAAAAACCAGGGTAATTTTCGATGACAGGTGGCGAGCGCCCTCTGCCGCTCATTAAAAAATTTAGCAGACGTGTGAATTCAAGCCCCATTGAAAACAGTGTAAAATCAGCACTGTTCAGGGCCCAGTAACATGCATACTAACATCCCTGAGATTTCAGAAACACAAATTGTCCCGTCTCTAGTCTTTCAATTTCTTTTCAATTTTTTGTGGGTTAACCAATTACATTTTTAATTATTCCCACAAAACAAAATTACCCCCCCCCCAAAAGTGATTTTTCCGAAGTCCGGTTGCATTTTTCAAGTGGCAACCCTCAACTTTCTCAGGCACCTACGACCATTTTTCAACCGTAGTTTTTAGCCATTCTGCTCTCATATGAAAACTCAAAGACCCAGGGAGTTAATCCTGGCAAGGATTTACACAATCTCACCATTTTGGGGGCCAAACAATCTCCTTTTTCAAAAGATACTGTGGCGTGCACTTTTAATGCTAATGAGCTGGCCAGAAATTCTCACTTGAATTAGTGGTCTGCACCCTGCAGGGCCGGGTCATAACTGATGAGAGGTGAGCTCTGTACAGAGTCTGAGATAATGTGCGACCCCCCCCCCCCCACACACACACCCACACCACACGTACACCAACAGAGTAAGGCCCGCATTTTATGCAAGCAAGGCTGGGTGGTGAAGTCCACTTATAATGTTAACAATCACCAAAAATTTGCACTTTTTAAAGTCTGGCTAATTAAAGGTCAACACAACCTTATCAAGTTACTCTTTCTTTTATCCTATTTCTAATTCAAGTTATCCCTAATTTTCCTTCACTATCTTGAATGCATACAAAATAAACAAGACACCAGAATATCAAACAACTTGCAAAATCATGAAAACTAGGTTTAATAGGATAATGACCACCAATCAAAAATAGTATCTGAGTTTTATCCTCTGCAAGTATCTACATACTTATTTTGCTACACGTATTTCAATTTTGAGCAGGAATTCCAGAGAACTGATTAATTCACACAAACAGTGCCTTGTTTTTCTGCATCAATTTTTACAGAGTTATCCATAAAAATATATCTTTGTTATATGAACAGCATTCTGAGCAATACAGTGAAACTGGAAAACATTCCACTTCCTATACTGACTTCAGATACCATTTGAATTAAATCTCACATCACTGTCCATATCTACACTATCGACAGGGCTGCTGTGTCTCATGTAACTGGAAGACTCAAAGCACCATAGAAAATTGTAACTAATAAAACCTGATTTAATGTTTGCTAACTCGCCCTTCTTCGGTCAATGAAAACACTCTGCTCAGGTAACTCTGTTTATCAAGCATTAGCATACACTATGAGAGAATCGTGATTGCTGACTGTTATTTTGATATCTGTATTTATAGATGCTTACATGAAGCCTCCGGCTTCATTGAACAATGAATGACACTCACATTTCTGATAGACAGCCATATGTACACTGGTGTATTTAAGTCAATGGTATGTCGGCTGCCCTGAGTAAAACTTATTGCAACTAATTTGGCAATCAAGGTTTCACAATGCATGGAAAAAAAAATTTCTTTCAGGCCAAAGGTCAAATAAACCAGGCAAAACAGAAAGCCCACCCACATCCCTGGCAATGTTACATTCTATTGAAAAATTTCGAGCGATGCCAATGACACATATATGGAATCTGCAAGTCTCTTCTCTAGATACGGTGCTGTTGCACTGATGAAATGAAAACTAATGCACTGGGTAGGAGGCTTGTGGAGGCACAATGTATGAGGATCTATCTCTATTCGGAAAAGGTGTGGTTCTGAAAAGAACTGGTGAGTCAGAACTCACCTTATGGGCTTCGAGCTGGACCAAGAGAGGGTGCAATTTTCCCAGCAATGAAGGCTTCTTTGGTACTTGTACGGAAGTTACTGCGCATCGCTGCGAATGACTGTGAAACATACGTGTTGTAGTCACATCACTACAAACAAAGATACACTCCTAACCAACATGACTCTTTTCAACTGATGAGGGGGTGCTTCTGCTCAGGGCAGATACATGGTGCATACGCATGCCTCCAACAGTTGAGCCACCACCTTGCTAAGCTTTGAGTCTTAGATGGAAAGCTTGCGGTAAGCACCATGCAATATCTCCTTTTGAGTCTGTGTGGTTCTGATAAGAACCGGAGACCACGATTGCATGGTGCTTACCTCAAGCTTTCCATCTTAGTCGTCTGTCACCATGAATAGCTTGAAATCCCATCTTTGAGTCTTACTTTAAAAAGATGTAGTTCTCTCCATGGATGATTCACTGAGTCCTGAAATTTGACATAGCTGTAAGAAACACTTGAGCAGGCTCTGGGTTTGTGGAAAAAAGACCCCACCTTTTCCAGGCACAAGAGACCAACAGAATGAAACACCTGACAAGTAGAGTGAAGCTTTGGTCTTCTTTTCATGGTAATGTTTCCATCATGGATGCACTTTCAAAGCAAGCCTTCGTAGACAGGTGACTCTGGGGAAGAAATGTCATTACAGTCTCATCAGCTGTAGGGAAACTCCTGTGCTACACAATAAATTCAGGGGTGGTGTTTTAAATTTTCAGCGCAATGGAAGTACAGATTAGTTTCACTAATGATGAGGTTGATTTTTAACAATACTTATAACACAGAAAGGCACGTCACTTCACTTCTGAGATATCTGGTTGCCCTATCGATCATGAAGCAAGATTTTAGCCTTGCAGATTTTGGCAACCAGCCTATGAACATACCATTGCTCTTCTAAGGGCCGGCGACCATTTAGACCCGGTTTGAAAAGGGCCCCCGGTAAGCTCGCACTGTTGCAAAAACCCCTTTCATACCGGCCTGGCTACCGGCC